AGAATATTTTTTACCAATGCAATGCCAGTATTCTCTTCTGCTCTTATGGCTAAAAATACAAATAACTTAAGAAGTTTTTGAGCTTAAATTATTTAGGAGCTATGAATTATTTTTTCCAAATCTTGATATCGAGACAAAATACAGTAAAACACAGGTCTTTCACAGTTCCAAACTGGTAAGCATTGCAGTTCAGCAAATTTTTGGTTAAGATGGATAAAGAGGTCTGTCCCAGTGCTACATGACCAAGTGCACCCCTAAGATAGTCCCATGCTCGTGACTTTACATTGAGAGGTGTCATGATTCCTTCAAGCATCACTTTTCTAACAGGACAGCCCAGTCTGAGATGAAATTCTCTTGTCAAGATCATTCTGTAAGCTATTTTTTACATTCTGAACTACATTTGTTACACATTTATGGGTTTATGCAGCAAACCCTGAATGCATTTCTCATTTAAGTAACATTTTTCCTTGCATGACCAAGTTAGTCTAATGTAATCCTTGAAATACTGGACTCTACATGGCACATTTCCTGCTGCTTAAAAAGTTTTTTCTGGAAAGCTTAATTTGATCTGTAATGAAGTAAGTCTGTAAGCAAAAGTTTGGATTAGAGTTATAAGTGGTGTAAGTGGTAGTACTACTGCTCTGCAGTCAGAAAGAGTTCAGGTTACTTGTCCAGGGTCACAAAGTCAGTGCCAGTCTGTTCAGGGCTTACATGTCCTGGTGGTAAAGCACAATTCTGATCCTTCAACAGCTGGAATATGAAAAAAACCTACATTTTTGTTGTTTATTTTTAACTGTCACTTCTGCTAAAAGCAAGAAGAATGCAAATTTGCTTAAATAGTCCCTTTTAGATATGAGACAACAGTAGAAGGCTGGGAAAAAGGGGTGCAAGTCTGTGTGAAAGGGAGAAAAAGACAGCAAGGAACAGGGACAACAACTATCTGAGGGCAAACTCAGCCATCATTTCCAGCTGCCAGCTCTCAGGACACCAGCCTGCCTCCAGAACACTGAAAATCCCCTCAGCAGGGTGGATCCCAGGCTGCAGGGTACCACAGCCTGCCAGGCTGGGCCAGCAGCTCTGCACACCTCTGTGCTCTACTCCACAGCAAGGCACTGACAGCTCAGGAACCCAGGAACCTGCTGGGACCATGCAGACTATTTTGGAGAGCCACTCAATTCAAGAGGGTTCCTCCTCTAATTTAGCAGCTCTGAGATCAGTCCCAGCTGTTTTTTCTGTCTACCTCTTGGAAGACAGACATTTCAAGTAACTTGCACTCCAAATGACTTTCAGGTATCATGTTTTTCCAAATTACTGAGGATAAATAAAAATAAGTATACAGGAAAGGATCTACGGTATCTCTATGCTGAATTAGGCAAACCCAAACAAGAGGTTGTGTACAACGAGGAGGAGTGGCTGACAATTGCTTCTTGGCTTGAGATGGTTGAACAGGTGTGAACAATGGCTGGGCACAGAGATCTCATTACCTTGCTTTTGTCTTATCAGTCTTCCCTTCTATACCCCACAAAAATCCTGTTTGCTTTGCCCTGCTATGGACTGAATAGATTATCTACCCTAGGAACCTTTATCAGCACCCTCACCTGGCTCTGTCCCTGCCCATTCCCAGTAATTCTGCCCTCACTGCAGTTAACAATCTGGTTAAGTAATGCCAGTTGCTGAAGCCATAATTCTTGGCACCAGAGCAGCTGGTATGAAATGCCAGTTTCACAAAAATTCTGTTATTTGAAGGACTTTTCTCCTCGTCATGAATCATGCTAACCAAACTGAAAATTAAGGACACGCTCAATACTGAAAATAATAATCAAAAGAATGCAGAGGAGAAGAAAGAACATATGAAAATTAGATTTCATTATTATCATCTTAAAGTACCAGTGTTTGTAAAACATAAGCATGTGAAAGGCTGAATCTCATGTGATCAACCCAATTAAACATTAAATAATTGCAGCCAATTATGCAAATATCACACAACAATATTAATTTGTTGATCTTTTTTGAACAGTTTCAAATTTTCTAATGTTAGACTATCTTATGTCTTAAATGATCAATTACCAGAAGCATAACTAAGTGATGAAGAATGGATAATTGCCTAGTTATGATGTACCATACTCTTTCTATGTAAATCTGTTGCAATTAAACAAATAGGGCACATGGAGAAAAGATGTGCAGATGTTCTTTTACAATCTGTTACTAGCTCAGGGAATACCACAGCTCCCTCCTAAATTTTACAAGTGAAAACAAGGAGAATGCAGTATCAAATACTGATTGTTATTTACACATGCTATTTCTTTCCTCTGGTTAATGGGATAAAATGCACTGCCAGAATTCAGAGTAGGACAGCATGCAACATCAGAAGAATTTCCTGTACTATACTGACCTGTCAGCTCTCTTATTTAGGCTTCAAAGTTTAAAATCTAAAACCTATTCCCCTGGATTCCACCTGGAAACAAGCACAGCCTCGAGCTGACACAGAGAGCAAGGCAATTAACCAAGATGTGAAAGACAACAATTTACATACACACACTCCACGTTTTCATTCTTCCCTGGAAGAAAAGACCACTCACTTCTGTGGGTCATTCCACTATCAAATCTCCTCACTTTGAGTCTCTATCAGCAGAAAAAAGAGAGGTGTCTCTCTGGTCAGTGCAGGAAACAGGGCAAAACACAACAAATGAAACCACCTGGTTCATGTTAAATGACTTGCAACCAATTTAACAACCAGTTTAACAATTTAACAGCTTCCAGGTTTACATTTCAGTAAAGTAATTCTTCTACCTGGTCCTTATTCCTTCTGCCTAGTGAACAGATTGCTGCTGGTATACTGAGGCCTTCACGGGGATTTTTGATATGTGGTATCATTTATCAGCTCTGTCAAAGCTGAGATGTTCAGTGTTGCACAACCACTCTGCCATGCACCTGAACTTAGGTATCTTCACTTTTCATTTGCTGCTAAAGCAAAGATGAACTTAAGGGAAAGAATAGATTGTTCAGTACCAGTAAGCCACAAATGGTTGCTCATTACATCATCTTTAGAGAACTCCACTCCACACTCTGGTTAAAGGCACTCTTTAATTTCAATACTGGTCTCTACCCCATGCTGCACCTTGACATATTCCCCATGTTTATATTTCCAGCCATCTAACTAAATAAAAGGAAAGATTACTAATTAAATAAAAGGAAAGACTACCAGCAGCTCATAACACATAGTAAGATACTGAACAAAGACCAGCACAGGATATAAATTCAAATGGTCACAACACTATGGCTACTGCGAGTGAAACAACATTTTGTGCTTGCAGTTGTAGCCTAAAGAAAAAATTATCCATCAATGTTTAATGATAGTTACATTGTCAGAGAGAACCTTCAACTGTTCTTCATTAAAAGATCAGACTGGACTGCAGTCAAAGACAGGAAAAATCATCTGAGGGAGCAGAAGAAAGTGATGGCTAAGGAGGCGTCTTCAAAAGGTGACAAAAAGTGAACAGGAAGCCATAAGGCTGCTCTTTAACAGCTGTATAAGGCATGGATGGTCCACTAGAAATTATATTTTGCATTTTTAAACTAGGTTAATAAATGCCAGTAACTACAAAAAACTTATTAAGCATGGGAGAGATACTGTTGGTCTTAAAAAAATTAAAGTGCTAAATGTTTCCCTTAATACTGGTGCATCTCTACTGCAAACTAGAACAAGAAATGTTTCACTTTTACTTCTTATAGGACTTCAACAAAGTGTCAATAAAGTTCCACCAGTTTTATACTGAAGTAGCACTTTGGAACATGGATACAGAATATGGTTATCCTTTTTGGCAAGAGGTATCTTAAAGCTGTTCAACAAAGCTGTGTGCAGAAGGAGAAAGCTAATAAATATTACAGGATGGTTGTCAGTGAACATTTGCAGAAGTTACTTCCCCAGCTATGGGCTACATGCTCTGTATTGCTTCCAAAGAATCAAGGCTGCATGTGGGAAAGCAGCATTCTATGGATTATCTGCTTAACCAGAATGAAATCAGGCTTTGAACCAAACCTCCTTCCTCCCAGACATTTTCTGCTGACAACACGGCTTGTTCCACAACAGGGAGGCCCCTCCACAGCACACGTGTCAAAGGAGGCTGGACACAGCAAGTATGGGAAAGGGACAAGGACAACATTTTTCTGATCTAAATGATGTGAGTGGGCGATGGAAGAAACTCCTCAATCCAAAGGTCTGGTTGCTGTGAAGAATGGCTGCACTTTCACAGCCAAAGCTGTCTGATCTCACTTTCCAGACACTCACCTGGAAGGCAGCAGTGTGTCTGCAGAGCCCAGCTCTGCCAGGCCAAAGGGGAACGTTATCTTGTTCTGAAAAGCCTTTTAGATGATGTCCAGAAGGGTGTACTGGGCTCTTAGAGGGGAATGCACTGCCCAAGCAGCCACTGCAAATCCCCAGGGAGGGAAGGGCAATAGGCCCACAGGGACCATCCTGCAGGCCAGACTGACCCAGAGAATTTTGGGCTAAAGGCCAGAGTTACTGTCAGAGTATGAGGGCACCTCCCAGGCTATGCAACTCAGGAATCTCCCACACCAGCAGAGTATGAAAGGATGGAGTGTATGGCTCAATTTGTTTCCCAAACCCAGAGCAAAAGGCAGAATAATGCCAACAGAACCCTGTGGGCAGCTAACAGGCCACATCCTCCTGTGACACATGTTCTGTTGGTGGAGGCAGTAAACAAAGCAATCTGAAGAGCAGTTGAAGAGCATTTTACAAGTTTCCAGACTCTATATAAAGGAGGCACTAAGAAAACCATTGGGAAAGTTCTATTGCTAACATTTAGCACCTCTACCAAGAAGACAGGCTTCTACCAAGAGGATTACAGTAGAAATCAAAATGATTGTGTTCACGTTTGCCAGATTGTGGAAACAATCACCCTGGGGAGCAAATTGATACTGGGACTATGCACTGGCAGCTACGGAATTTGTCACTGTTCAGATGTCAGGTCTGTCTGCAGGCTCTGAACTCTGCCACCTTCATGACACCAGCACTGCCCAGTCGCTGTCTTCTCTTCCATACTGAAACAAAGCAAAAAAAAAAAAAAAAGAAGTTTAAGAATAAAAGTTAAAAGAATCAGTGCATGTTTGTAACAACTTCTTAGGTCTGTCCTCAGAAAGGTTAATTTTCACTGCCCTGACAGTAGTTTACATTGGTTTTTATGCCCTTATTTGCCCTTGATTTGGGCACAGACTGAAGATAGCTGGCCTTACCCATATTACAATAGCTGGTTCAGGAAGGAGCAGAGCTGATACTCACTACAGATGACACAGAACAGCCCTGCTTCACTTCCATCAGTTTAATGCAGTTACTCCCCGAGGCCTGCTCACTAATTCACTCATAACTATGCCCCTGCTCAAGCTCCAATAAACAAACACATTCCAGTTTATTTCTTTTTATTGTCAAGGTGGCTTTTTATTACAACATTCTGATTGAATGTGAAATAAAACCATCACAAATACCGCAGAGTACAATTAGGGAGAATCGTAAGCCAAAATAAAACAAGTTGTCTTTCCGTGCACAAACGAATGGGATCACCAAGCAGAAATGAAGGCAACCCATGGCATGCAGCCACATCCACTTCCAGGGGAGCACTCAGCCCCCAGGCAGCACTTCTGACAGCCAGACTGGTTCCATGCTCTACAGCTCTGTCACCAGTCCTGTAAACAATGCCCCAGAGAGGCCCCAAACACACACAGGGCTCCAGCAGGTAAATAATTCAGAGGTGGAGGGACAGCAGCAGATGGGAGTCCCTTCCCTTAGAGTGTTATACTTGAAAACACCTTCAACCAAGAAATGAAAACTCATTTTGGAGGCTTTATGTAGGCTAAAAAGATCACTTAATTTCTCCAGAGTGGGAAAATACAGGTGGGAGTGGGAAAATACAGAACCTCCCATACAGGTTCTGCATCAGCAGGAAATGTGGTAACAGGTCACTAAAGCAGGGAAAAGACAACAGCTCCACATCAGGATGAGCCAGAGGAAACACACTTCTAATCCACAAAGGAATGGTGCTCAGTGGGTTCATGTTTTACTCCTTACTCCAGCAGGCAAGGCTCTAACTGACCCTCAAAATTATCAAATCTACTACTTTTTTTCATTATTAATTCTGCTGCTCCTGTTCTGCATTGCAGTTAATTGTAAATTTTGCTAACTTTAGGCAGCAGTATCACCCAATGCTCCACTACAGAAATTGTTGCAGTGGCCAGTCTGAGTTACCATTTGACTAGAGTTTGCACCTGCCAGAATTAAGCAGGGAATGAAGCTGCAATACCACAATGAAAATAATTTCCTTCTACAAATAAAAGCACATTTAGCTTCCATTTTTAATTCTGTCAAGGGCTTTGTGATCTCAGACCAGTCAATCTGATCCCTCTTCCACTGTCCAGCACCTCCAGGTCATTCTTTGTAAAAATTAATACATACATGGTTCTTTCCTGTATGTTTTAAATTGCCCAGAGTAAAAAAGGGGCTTTGATTAAATGTCTCTTCTCTGCTCTCTTGCCTGCAGTGTTTAAATGTATTTAATAACACATAGCATAAGCAATGTATCTTATTTTCTATCCATCCCTTCCAAGCTGCAGCTTAATCCATGTCTTAAAGGGCACAGCAAAAGCTTGTTTATTCTCAAAGCATGGCTGCAAACCCACAGAAACATGAGTGGCATTTCAGTGAGTGTGTTCCCAGAGAAAAAAACTCCACCCCTAAATCCTGCAACTCAAGCAGCCATGGAAGAGTGCACTGTTACTAATTCATTCATAAGCACACCATTAATTTATATAATGTATGTTCTTTAATTTGAAGACTTCATCAGCCTTTAGTGATCATGATATCTATCCAGTGACAGGAAGGGAAATGTCTCTCTCAACTGGCATGAGAAATTGGATCAGTTCTGCCCATGAGCTTCTGATTTGTCACTCCAGCTCTGCTTCCACTGAGCAGCTGCTCACGTCTAAAGGCTTCCATCCCTCCGAACACTGCACACTTGCAAGAGATCAGCATGAAACCAGACTTGGAAACACAACAATGAGAGAACATGAAAATTATAAAAGCAGCGTGTGCTCTACACAAGGGAACTGGTGTAACAACAGCAGATATGGAGCCAGCACCTTCTGGTCACAGGTGCACATGCGGGACATGGTGGTGCTGAGAATTTCCACTTTTTTACAGATTCCCATGGCTCAACATGAAATGGGCACACTGCCCCAGTTCAGGCAGCAGAACAGCAAAGAGACCAGAGCTGTGTTTGACTGCTATTTCCATTGCACTTTATGCTTCAAAACTGGAAGATTCTTCGGAATTACAGCCTCAGATTGTCCAAATGATACCACAATAATCCAATGGTAATGCAAAGAGACCTGTTATTTTTTTTCTTCTGGTAGAGGACATAGAGGAGAACCTTTGATAAAGATCTTCTAACATTTTTAGGATTATTATATAGTCCACTTTTTGTGTCACAGCATTGTTCTCTGTGTGACATCATGGGGTCCTTCTGAATATGAGCCCAGCCCTCCACAGACAGGAAGGTGCAGAAACACAACCAGGAACCACTGATTGACTCTTAATGGGGAAGCAACCACCAATCTCTTTAAAATCAATGATTTTAAAAATGGTTTTCAATGGTTATGTGTTCTAACTCTCCTGGGTTTTTTTAAAGAAGGAAGAGAACCCAGAATTAAGCATAGATGTAATAGCCCAGCAATTTCCAGAAGTAACAAATTTAATCCTGGCACATAACTAAAGAACACAGACTAGGTACACACAGCTGAAAGGTGGAAAGGTCCACATCAACAGCTAAATAACGTGAAAAGGTCCCAGAAAGAGAATGTTTAGTAACAATCCACACTTTTCCAGCCTTGGCTGGTGGAGGAACACCAGGGTGATAAGGCAGGAGGCAATGGGCAGGAACTGATGCCCAGGAAGCTCCACCTGAACATGAGAAGAACTTCCTCACTCTGCAGTGCCTGAGCACTGGACAGACTGTCCAGAGAGAGTGTGGAGGCTCCCTTACTGGAAATATTCCAGACCTGTCTGGACACAGTCCTGGGCCGTGTGCTGGAGCTGGGAGGAGGCACCAGGTGACCACTGTGGGCCCTTCCAGCCTGACCCACTCTGATCAGGGAGGGAATCAGCCCTTCCCTCAGGGAAAAGCCTGGATACCTTTGTCTTGCCCTGCTCACTGCCTCAAGGGAGGAAGACACAGATCACAGGATTACTGGCAGGAACATAAAGATTTTAGTGGCATCTAAGAACACTTGGAGCCAAAAATGTAGAACGGAAACCATCAGAGTCAATTTGAAGAAATCCTGGCAACACTGCCAAGCAACTGCTATCAGATCTTAAATAAAGGGGCTTTGCAACTTGCCAAGCTCTTCTCCTATCCCCAAATCCCCCACACCATAAACTACACTAAATAAGCAAAAAACCCAGGCAACTTTAACAAGAAGGGCCCTCACCTGCTGCTCACTGACTTCACCTGAAATGGTCCCTGAAATGCCCAGACATGGAGATAAAGCAGATTCCACAAAGACTTTGATATTTAGCACATGAGAGAGGAGGGAACTGCTTTAAGAATGAGAAGTGATCATGTGATTGGAAAAATAATGAGAAATGGAAATGGTGATCAGCTGGCTGTGCCCAGTGAGTGTTTAATTGCCTTACTGATTAACCTGTACTCATTTGTGGCTGTGGTTAACATGTTTCATAAATCCCATCTTGTTCCCTTAAAAAAAGCAACCTCTAACAACAGTATTAGATTTCACTGGTAACAGTTGTATCTTACAACTCTCATCCACACTCCAAGAGGCAGGAAAAAATGACACTATACCTCATCTCTACCACACTTTCTCAAGGAAAGAAAATTGGCAGAATAATCACACTAGACAAAAGGGTCTACATTATTGTATGATGCCATCTGTAGCATCACTATCAAAAATATTTTCCACTCCTTTCAAACGTTCACCTTTTATTATTTTACATGGTTATAGCACAGAAAACACCTTACCTGGATATCAGTTAGCTTATTCAGGAAACGGGTTGTTACTTCAGGCCCATTCTCCATGGTTGGGATGTGCAAGTGCTGGCATTGGAATAACAGAGAGGGAGAAGGGGAGAGAAAGAGAGTAACATGTAATAACAGCTTCACATATATATGAATACCTTATGGCTGCCAGAAGTTTTAATAAGTATTTATCAATATTTATATTTATCTAGCCCTCCTTATGAGTAGGAAAGGGGGGTTAGTTTGGGGGTTTTGATTGGTTTTTTTTAAACAGGAGGGTGCTGCTAAGCCAGTGAAAAGGTAGAGAGTTAAACTGTAAAGCTCCTGCTCAATAAAGGCTAATCCAAGCCTCCCAAGAGATCTGTCCAAAGTGGAGGGAATATTGTGCAGGCAAGAGAGGTAACATTATACACAGCATTTCATTTCGAGGTATATTGTGTAGAAACACAACACTTATATTTACAGTACTTCTCACTCAGCACCTCAATGTCTCAGATTAGCTTAGCATCAGGCAATATCAATACATTTATTCTATTTTATTCATTCAGGAAGCATCACCCAGCAGACATTTATTGTGCTTATCATGTTCAGTGGACAAAGCACAGCCCTTCATGCAGCTGCACTGCCCCTGGTCACTGAACTAACTCTGTGCTGACTAAATAGCACCGAGTCAGCTAAACATTCTGAATGCCTGGGGAGCTCCACCTGTGCAGGAGAGATCTCCCAAATGGTGAGCAGCAGGGGAAGGCAGCTGTGCCCTGCCTGGAAACAGCTCTTCCACCAGAGCTGGGATCCCTGCAGTGAGGGTGAGCAACAGAGGAACCTGAGAGGGAAGAACAGCAGTGGCTCAGAAATTTGGTTCCCTGTGAAATTCTTCTCTCCTCAGCCTCCCCAGGTACCTTAGCAAAAAATACTGAATGAAAGAAATGTGGAAGAATGACATTCCTACATTTGCAAACAGGCTGAGAACTGTTCTTTTTCCTTTTTTTTTTATGTTTTAGATTTTGTTTTCAGCTATTAGGAAAAACCCCAGACAACAAAAGTTTCCTTCTGACAACCAGCAACTCACTTGGGAAACAACACACTGACACAGTTCACCCTTCCAGGCAGTGCACATTTTCTATCTCCCTTGGTTTTGGCTTTCATTTGCAATTAACTGTGATAAAATTCAGAAGAAAGAAGGGTTTAAAAAAAAAAAGACATTTCCTTACCTTGCCCTGATATAAAATTTTAGAGATGGGACATACAATGCAAGCTGTTCCAGCACCAAACATCTCCTTTACTCTGCTCTCTTCCAAGGCAGCTGTCAGGTCACTCATGGTGATGTATCGCTCAGACACTTTGAATTCTCCCTGCACAAGAAGCAGCAACCATAAAAATTGGAGAAAGTTTAAAAACCATAGAAACTTTAAAAACATTACTGGTTTTGTTTTCTACACTGAACCATTTCCAATAGGATTTTAGCCTAGTGACAGTAAGTCAAGTTCTGACTCTGATCTTGTGATCTTTTCAAACATGCCAGTATCACACAAGACGGATTTTCATCAAAAGAATGCCCTACAAAGCTGCCAGTGGTCTGCCAGGTGCAATGCTGATGATTAAGTGGCACTTCCCTCTGGTTTGGTGCAGGGTATCAGTATCACATTAGGGAATAACAAAGAAGAATTGTTATGGGACACTGGATCTCTCCACTCATGGTCTCTAGCGTGTTAGAGTTTGCCCAAAAATTACTCAATTATATCAAGAGAGCCTTTGCATCCAACTCTCAGACAATTCCTAAGCAAGATATATTCTGTTGATTAATTTCACCTGCCAGGCCAATTAATGTGATGTATTTTTTTAATCCCTAGTGAAATTTCCCACTGTATCCTGCAAACAGCTGTCACATACAAGAATTGACTGTACTACAGGTATGAGTAAAGCCATTTGCACTGCAGTCTTAACACTGGGAGTGCTTTACCTTCTACAAGAGTGGAAGAATGCACAGGAATCAATTGAAGGGATGTGTTTCAAGAAAAGAAATAAATGTCACACTTTGAAATTTGTATTTCACATAAATGTTTATTTGAAATTTGAAAAATTTCATGTTTGATGTGGTATTCCTGTTATCCCACTCTAAGCACAACCCCAGCCAAATCCAGGAGACAGGATCCTGGGCTTGACGAGCCTCTGGCTGTGTAGCATCCTTACCCAGGCTGCAATAAAACCTCTGAATACAGCAAGGCAGAGTTTGCTGCATTTCCAGATATGATCCAGTCCCAAGTGTCCAAAAAAGGTCTTGGATTTGCACTACAGAACAGGAACCAGACTGTGGCTGGGCAGGCTGCATGCTTGTTAGCAGAAACAAGGCTGGAAGCATGAGAACTAAATGCAGAAATAATGAGCTGATGACTGAAGTGCAGCTACGGTCATGCACAGTAATTCTTTGTTTCCTTGCTCTAAGTGCTGGTACCAGTGGATTTAATGAGAATTTTCATGTTAAATACTGCATGGAGCTACTGTAACAAGCTGGGTATTGTTCTGTGTGACAGGTGTGGGTATTCCTGAGAATCCCTGAATCAGCACACCCCAAGTTCCCAGCAGGTTCAAGGGACAGTGCATGCTCAGCCAGACTGGTCAGCAGCACCAAGCTGTGTGGCAGGGCTGACAGGCTGAAGGGAAGAGGTGCCATCCAGAGGGATGAAACCCCTGAAAGCAGGGTTTGTCAGGCTGGGCACACTCTGAGCCTCTGATCTAGTGGAAGATGCCCCTGCTCCCTGCAGAGAGGCTGGAGTAGATGGCCTTTGAAGTCCTTTCCAAGGCCAGGCTGGACGGGTTCTGGGACAGTGCCAGGTGTCCCTGCCCATGGCAGGGGCTGGAATGAGATGATCTTTAAGGTCCCCTCCAACCCAGGCCTTTGTATGATCCCAGGAAGCCAGACTGATCCTATCATTTTTATCAAAGCAGCTGAACTTTAGGACACTGAACACCAGAAATGCTGACTTCTGCTGAAGTTGTGACATGACAATTGAAAGCATTCCTGCCAAAGCACTCACCCAGCTGCGTGCCAGATCCAAAATGCTCTGCCTTGTCACTCCTGGAAGGATGATGCCATCTAAAGGTGGCGTTGCCAGCTCATTTTCTGCCAAAAGAGAAACACTGGTTGAAAAACAAACAAACAAAAGTTTACTGATATTACACCAAACATGTGGGTCCCTTACAACTCAGGATATTCCGTGATTCCGTGGCACCAAAAACAATCCCTACCCTGTAAGATGCAGCATTTCTCAGAGTTCTCTAAGAGCACAAACAGATACTCAGCTCAGGCTAAGTTGTTGCCGAGTGTTTGGAACATTTTATATTCACCTTTTATTATAACTTCAAGGTATTAATGTATTAAATATGTTTTTTCCCCACCTTTTGGGCAAGGAAGAAACACATTTAATACATGAATTTACACATGCCTAATGCCTTGGAGGTGGTTTTATTCCTCAGTGCATGACACCTATAACCATGTAACTGCACTGTGTTACTACTGCAAACCATTAAATGGTTCAGTCACCAGATTCACAGCAGAAAAGCAGAGGGAAAGTCATGCCTAATAATCCCAGTGCACATCACAACTTTCCCTGGAATGTTTTACCTAATTCAGGAATATGGGATTTAGCATACCCACTGCAGCAATAGGAAACATTTACCAAAAATTCTAAATTTCATTAAATGAACCAGCAAAGCAGTGGAAATCCTGCCAACCCTCCTTGGAAGGAGACTTCCTTAATGATCTTTGTTGTAATCCAGGCACCCTTTTTCTGTGCTAATTTTCTCTTTACACAATTAGAACAATCCTAAGAAAAATCCAACACTGACAACAATAATTCAAATTGTTCAGCTGGTTTGGTTTGTCAGTGTTTCTTGTTTGCTTTTGAAGAAGAGCAGTAGATAAATGTTCATCTAACAAAACTAATGAAATGGTAAATAAATGGCAAACAATAAACACTTGGTTAAACAATCCATGCTTGGAAAATACTTAAAACACAGGTCTGTACGTAGACTTTGTTCTTCCATCTGATCTCTGCAGCAATCAGAGGAAATCTTTTTCATTTTAAGCCATCACATAGTGCACCCACTGGCCCACTGGTTTCTATCATCAGAGAAGGATGACCTTTTACTCTTTTCAGACAGAGACTTGTAAGGCAGTGTCAAATCTGCACTGAGAAGTCCAGACATCCAGAGTCCTTCAGTAGTACTCCTCATATTTTTTCCTAACCATTTTATTTCCCTACTTATAATCCTTTTTTTCTTTACCTTATATACTATCCCTGCTCAATAAATCCACAAACCACGAAGAGCTTTGTTTATTTTTTACCTAGGTCACATAAAAAAACCCAATAAAAACATGAAGGTTTATATTTTACGTCCCCTTTCTCCCTGGCTGCAAGATCACTGCATCCAGGCCTGACTGAGCCTTTCTCCAAGGAGAACCTCTCATGAAGGTATTTCTAGAGATCCTGTGAATATTTGCAGCTGGGTAGAAGAGAGGAACGCGGTGTTTGTCCTTGGTGTGTGGGAGCAGGGTGAGCTCAGCTGCTCAGTGCTGTGTTGGGCACTCCACACGAGATTTCTGTGCACAAACACTGCCTGCCAGCTCTGCCCTGAGTACATCCTGGCTGCCCACTCTGCAGGAGGGGCACTGGGAGCTGGGATGGGTCAGGGGAGGTGGAGGATAAATTCACTGGATCTGCTACTCACTCTCCACTCTCTCAGGAAATCATCTGTTACTTCCTCATGCAGCCACCCATTGATTTATTCTCCTACCAGTGCTTCCATGTTCCTTTTATGAGGATCTATGCACACATCAGTAATAGGTGTAAAGTGCCAGGCCAAAATGTACAGAAATGCTACCCCTAGGACAGGCTCTGGTTTGACTAGCCCAGTGTCATTCCCCAGCCTACCCCAGACTTCTAATTCCATCAGCCCTCTCTTCTTCCTCACACAGTCAGGAATAAAAGCATTTCCTTTTCTCAGTCTGTCTAGTCTGTCACTCCTCTTTGTGATGCATGTCTGGTCCTAATTCTGGCACAGCTATCACAAGGAGAAGACTTTAAAACTCTCCATGAGCCACGGGGCTCACCTGATTCTAAACACTGAAAGCCTGAAATTCTGCATTTGTGACCCAGAGTCTACTACATTCCTTTCTTTAAGTGAAAACTTCAGATACTGTGGACTTTGATACCAGAGATTGTGATTACACTTCTCTGACTGGTGGTGTTGCCACAGATCTTGTCCAGGACCTGTTTAAGCTCAATAACAGATATTAATTGATTTGAGCTAGTTTGAAAAGGGGCCAGGCCAAGCCAGCTGCCAAACAGCACTGAGCAGACAGGACATGGAAGCCTCAAAATGTTCCAAACAGGCTGCTCTGTAGGATTTTGTCAAGTGTGCATATGATGCTCCCAGCCTGGGGCCAGCCAGGGAACATCTGCTCCCCCGGGATCCGGCAGGATGGTAACACCATCCAACACGGCACGCCAAAAGCTCATCCTCCCTGGGAGCTGGTGCCAAAGCAGCCTCCGTATGACATCAGCGTGTCCATCCCCCAAAAAACAGGCTGTGGGCTCACAGGCTCCACCTGCCTTCTGAGTTATTTCGATGGGCTGGAATGCGCAGCTGCAAAAAGCGGGAGGAAAGCGTTTGAGGGGAAATGTCAGGGTGCCTCCTCAGCTGACTCCTGTTGTTGTCCTACCAGCAGTACTGCCTGCCCAGTGCCCTGTTCCACCTGCTACAGGCTTGCTCTAACAGCAGCATTCCATCAGTGTGTTTAAGGGGGTTTTTAAATGAGCTCTTCCACGTTACACAAGAGCAGCTTTTGAAGACCTGTGCCTATAGAGCACAGAGCAGGTAAGATGCACTCCTGGGACACCCTCAGGACTAGCCAGGCTGCAACAATGCTGAGAAATTCACCCAAATATGTGTTTTAGCAAAGTGATACAATCCAAGTGAACTTCAGGATCCAGCAGAACCCAGAAAACCCTGTTTTCACTGACATTAACAGCTAATTTCTTCTAGCAGCTTGTCCTGGGTCTTCCTCCTTACTTCCCTCAGTCTTTTCTTCAACTCTTCCCTCATGCAATCACTGCCTTTGCATCTGTTAATTTGCTTTCCTCAATTACTTTTCCATCCTTTGCTTTGTCCACCACCTCATTCATTTGCTGCTCTCCCCTCCACTCTATTTCTGGGGCTCTCTACTAGAAGAGAAGCTACAATCCTGGTTTTGTTAGCACTGTAATTGTACAAGACACTTCTGCAGCACAACTGATGTTCCAACTACAGAATAACTAGCAAACTTGCCTTAAATTTTACCCGATTGCTCCAGAGAATCTTTTAACAGATTTACTTTTTAACTTATGTAATTTTGAAGTGGGGACTATTAACCACCATTTCAAATGCAGCACACAAATATTAAATAATGCCCAAATGCTATTCACAGTGCCTTAACATTGAAGACAGAAGTAGAGCCCAAACGGCTGCAAATAATTTTGAAGAAATGGAATTTTTCAAAACTGCACACAGATTTCACAGCTAGCATCTTCAGGCTGGACATGTGTTTAAATTTTAAGGTTTTCCATAAAGCCAAGCCTGTATTCTAGGCAGAACAACAGACTTTGTGAGAGATTAAGTGAGTTTCAATGTCAAGAGCTTCCTGGGATAGTTACACACTCTGAAGAGGCATGTGGAAGGGACAGTAGGGTGACTAAATTTTTCACTTAGTGAACATAAACTATAAATAGGATTTGATGAATGAGGATTTTAGGCAACAGCAGAGATCCAGTTTTGGCCATATTATAAGCCTCAGAGCAGCAGTGGGAACACAAGAACAGTATGGAGCCAAGTCCTGCTGTTTTACCAAAAACTGAGCAGTTTTCTTCCCCTACTCCCTCCTTGATGTTACAAACAAAATATTTTTTCAGGCTCATCCTGCCATGCAGGACAAGATGTCACCTTTAGGCACAAAGGCTGCAGGGAAAGCCCACTCCCACTGGGAGCATGGCTCTCCTCCAGGCCAGGCTTTTCTGGGATAAGCCTCTGCTCACAAACCAGGGAGAGCAGCTCAGCTCCCAGCAGCGAGCTCAGAACACACAAAGATGGGCATTTGCTTCTGATGATCATCTGCAATTTCTGCCTCACTTTTTTTGATCCCTCTCAGCTGCAGCATTTGCATAAGAAAACCAAAGCACAGCCTGAGTGGGTGTCCTTTGTGAAGTGACAGAGTGACAAGCACATTTCCAAACCCCCATGCAAAGCCACAAGCAGGTATGTGATGACACAGGCTGGCAGCATGGGTGATTCTCAGCCAAAAATGCCACAAATGAAGAGTTACTCAGCACCCTGCAGACAGCAAAGTGCTCCCAGAGGGCAGTGCCCATGCCCTGTGAAAGGACAGGTCTGCCAGCAGCCAGCCCTCTTGGGTGGCAGGGATTACAAGCTGCTTGCCACAGCCACCTCACAATAGCAGCATTGAGCCCTGCCCTGGTGGCACAGTGATTGGCAGGTCCTTGGAACAGCACCGTGCTGCAGCTGCCTAATTCCAGCATATTCCTGGTTTAAGGACAATGAGAACATTGAATTTTAATTATGTCCCCACTTCAGTGTCCTTCCCTGAGCAGAACGAGCCAAAATCTATTTTCATGTTTTTCCAGCTAAGTTCCACCAGGCAGAAATTTGGCCATCTATCTACACTGACAGATCAACTGCTGCTGCAGCAACAAGAAAATGTCTAATTTTTGTCACTTCATTCATAAAGCTTCACAGACTCATTCAGCACTGAGGGACTATTACCCTCTTCTTACAAATGTGGTATAAAGATTTTGCAGAAGAACAAGCCCAGCAGTTTAGTCTCCTTTCAGCAGGCAGCACTCACAGCTGCTCCAGAATCCCCTCTCTCACAACTAACACTCACCCAGTGACTTTCAGAAGAGAACAGGCACTTTCTTTGTTAAACCATCTTCATTAAAAAGATTGTGATCTGCATTCTAACAGTCATTCTGTGGATTACAATCCCAATCATCTCCTCTGTTAAAGTTTTCACTCTTTGTGTTACCATACCTCCATCTTCATTTATCCAGTACAGAAACAGATTCATCGTTCCAACTTCAGTTATTTGGTGATCTTCTCCATAGAGCCACAAAACCTGCTGGCAGCCAAACTCCAGGGCTTCTTGCTGGGCATAAATAGAAGAACCATAATTCCTTCAGGAAAAAAAAAAAAGAAAAAAAATCAAAGAGTTATGAGTACCTGGTTGGGCATCTTCTCAATTTAAACAAGACTTTGTGCACATGAGCAAGTGCTCTGCAACAGTCTTTATGAGTACCTGGTTGGGCATCTTCTCAATTTAAACAAGACTTTGTGCACATCAACGTCATGAGCAAGTGCTCTGCAACAGTCACTGCTTGTCCCTGGGATATTTTCACTGGAAATATTCCACCAGTATTTTACTAGATTGTTTGTACCTAAAACCCAAAAACTTTGAAGGGCTGAACAGCACTAACAACTCAAACATATCCATCCAAATTGTATTAACATACCTCTTGTTCCATATTCTGGACATTGTAATTATTGCAACTGAAAATCCTCAGAAAGCATTTATCTTTATTTAGCAGTTGGCATCCTGGAGAGAGGGCAACAAATCCCTTCCAGGTTTTGGGATTTTTTGGTGTTTTCCTTGGGTTTTTTGGTTGTTTTTTTTTAAATTCATCTACCTCATGTCAGATGGGGTAATATATGTTAGATGAAACTCTTGGAGAACAAGTAACACCAGAGGTGAGGGGGTATATTTCCTAATAAAAGATATTAAGAGAACTAGCATCTTCAGGAAATGCAACTATGTCTAGATTAATTCCATATCCTTTAGGAGCAAATTTTTCTAAAATGCTGCCTACAGAGTGAACCTGACTGAATAATGCCTGCTGCTTTGAGGGGAAAAAAAAAAAAAAAACCAACCCTTTTTGCTTCTATCTTCAACAACCTTCAAGATGCAACGTCAGCAGCTGAACCTGACTGAATAATGCCTGCTGCTTTGAGGGAAAAAAAAACCAAAAAAAACAACAACCCTTTTTGCTTCTATCTTCAACAACCTTCAAGATGCAACGTCAGCAGCTCCAAAATGCTGACCACACTGAAGCCAAGTTCTCACCTCTGGGCACAAATCAAGTCAGTAATGATTCCAGACTACTCTTTTTCACAGCTGATGTATGAAGGATCCACAGGAAACAATATATTTCCAGAAGTAAGGAGAATCTCATAAAAAAAGTCTCTTTCAAAAACCAGACCACATTTAAAACTGCAAGAACAAATCTCATTTAAAAACATCTTTTTTTTTTTAAGAAAAAAAGCAAAGGTTCAGAACATCAGTGTGAATGAAGGAAAGTTATTTTCCTGATCTCTGACTTTTTTAGCAGCTCAGCTGAGCAGCACTTGACAGCCACTGACTCCTGCCTGGCAAAGAAACTCCTGGCTAGGAGAATCCAAGGAAGGAGGTGAGCAGCCAGAGCTGGCAGCAGCTGCTGCACTGATGATGCAGCACAAAGTGCAACTCCAGTGCCAACTGCTGCAAGGGCAAGAGCCAAAGTATCTCATGGACACCTTCCAGGTGCAGCTCCTCAGCCTGAGATGCTGCAAAAAAAAAAAAATCAATTGGCTGTAATATTTAAAAAAAAATGCAACTGAGTTGCATAAATAATATTAGCAAAGCACAATTCTGAACTCTTTGTTGTAGCACATTGTTTATTTAACCACTGCACTTAATGTCTCTGTTTATGCTGGATTAGATACTTCACTAAAATCCAAATCTGCTTTGTGAGCTGTGTGGAAAAGGCAGGATGATTTTCCTTACCCTCCCACTTTGCAGTCTCCTGTTCCCCCTTTCCACGCTCTCACGTATTTTGGATCTGCCCACAAGGATATTGGATTAAAGCTTCCACTTGCAAAGTAAGGGCCCACAGGGCTCAGAATGACATACAGCAGGGCTTTGGTCGGCTTCTTCACTCCAAGGGAAGGCTGAAAATAAATGTAAACAAACCCAAAGTTACTGCTGTCCTTCAAACATCAGGGGCTGCACCACCAGCTTTTCAAACACTGCTCTCAGTGGGACTGCAGCACGAGAGTGCTTTTACCAGCACAGTGCAAAGTGCTGCAATGAATAAAAAATACTTCTATAATTCCCCCCATCCAAGCAACACAACCCTAATTTTATATCCTGTCACCATTCACTTACAGCCATTCCATTTATCTATATGTTATCCTAGCACTCTCAAACAGTTTCAAGTTTTTGAGAATTCAAAGATCAGCTTAACAAAGTGCTATACAATTATATGAATATAATAGAATACAATACAAAATAATAGAATAAAATACAAAATAATTGAATACAATACATAATACACTATAATACAAAATACAATATCATATATAATACAATATATGAATATAATAACATGAATTAATCATACCAGAAGCCCAAAAAGCCTTCAGGGGAAGGAGTGGCAACTACAGCAGTAACAGCAGTGAAGAAACCACTGTCAGCTGCATTAGTGAGAAGAACTGTGCAGTGCCAGCTGGCATTGCTGGAGTTGAGTGCTGGCTTTCCGATTGTCTGTGTGACAGCTGAAATTATTTGCCTGCTAAAAATAGCTCAGACAACAGCCCAGGAAATAACCAACAATGTCAGAGATTTTTCTGCCCCTCCTCTCTGAGAGATGGCTTCTCACACTCCAAGTCATCACCATCAGTACTTGAAGGTGCAGGTAAGAATTCTGGTGTTGGCCCAAGCTCTCCAGGTGCTGAAAGGGCTCCTTTGATTTCTGTCTGCCCTGCTGCTTCAGAAAGACTTCTAACAGGATCAACCAAGACCTTAGTATTTTTGCTGATGTGATCATTTAAAAGATTGTGCTGCCTGAGTTTCTGATTGGGGTGATTGATAAACATGCAACCTGGAAACAACATGTGATAGTGGAAAGGCCACAAGGGCTGACTATCCTGAAACAAAGCTCGGAGCAAAAGAATTTTCAAAAACAAAACTGGGGTAAACACCCCAATTCTAGTATCAGTACCTTATCGTCACTGAGTAGAGATTCTTTAATCTGAAAATCTGCAAGTAGTTTAACAGTATTAAATTAATGGAGTCCTAGAACCTATGTGAAATGTAAAATGCTCACGTATGGTAACTACTCACAGACAGGGATATTGCAGGAGTTTGGCTTATCTAGCGTGGAACCTACATTCTTTAGCTTCCTTGTCCTATGCTCTACCATTGTGCATTTCTCTCTTGCTACTGCTGAAAAAAAAAGAACCCTGAAGCATTCAATAAAAACTCTAATTCCCTTTATCAACACTACAGAACTGACTGACACATGAAACTCAGAGAGGACACATAAATACCTATTTGCTAAGGAGCCCCTTAGAAGGTCAGTTTGCAAGAATAATTGACAGAGAGGCTAGTCCTTAGCTCTGCTGAAAGTATCTCTTCTGAGACATCTTAATTTACAGAGCAGAATCTTCCAAAAACTCCTATGTTCAGATATGACTTGAAATTAAAAAATGTACACTGCAAGTTGTGATCCATCATGTTCTCTCAGAATTATTAGTATTTTAATATTATCATGTCAGGTACAACTGTCCTTTCAGCACAACCCACATTAACAAGCATTGCTCCATTCCCACTGTGAGTAGTGGGAGGAAACTCCGTTTATTTTCCGTGCTCTGAACCAGTGTGCCCACTGAGTGGCACTGTGGTCAACCTTAAATTCGCGCTGTGGACTCCCAAGTAAAACCACAAATCTACCCTCAAACTTCATCCTGTCACCTACTGACTGCTGAGTATCTCCCTGTATGGATGGAGGGCTTTGCCTCATACCTAAATAAACAAAAGAATAAAAAGAGAGGGGAAAATAAACGTTGCACACCTCAGTTCCAACGAGGGTAGGACGGATATAGAGGCTGGCAGAGGTTGAGTAGGGCACCCACTCCTGCTCCACTTCCACCAGCTTACGGATGCACTCCAACAGCTCCTTCTGGTCAAAAGACTGGCAAGGAACACAAAGGAAAAAAAGCAAATGGAGAAATAATGCTGGAACACTTTGTGGTGCTCACAGATCCACATGCTCCAGGGAGCAGCTCCTCAGGATATGCAACAGCGACACGCTGCAGTGGTTCACATCTTCCCTGGGTTCATTGTTAACAGAATTTAATATCCCGTGGTCTTAGCTACGGTGCCTTTTTGTGCAGTATCCCAAGTGGCCTCCTCTGCTCCACAGTGTCCTCCTGAGATGGTAAAAAGGAGCCACTGACCCTTCTTGCCCCCAAGGCATGTGGAGAACTCCCTGTGCAGCCAGCTCAGCCGGGCACACAGCACCACCTCTTCTACAGAGGAGCGCTCTGCTTTACAACTCCAAGGGCCAGCAAGTCCCCCAAAGTTCCCAGGTTCTTACAGCAATTAAGCTAACAAGCCTGGGAGGAAGTCCACTGGCCAAGATACAATGGCTGAAAGCAGTGTTAAGTTACTGGCATGACCACAACCAAAGGCACTCAAGAGGCTGAACAACTGAACTGAGGTGCAAAGAGGAAAAGGGAGAACATCAGCACCAGAGCAGGTCAGACAGCTGCCTGCATGCAAACATCTGCAGGACAGCACCCATCCCTCAGAAACACGCTGAGGCAGCAGGGAGGCAACAATGAAAGCAAAACACCCACTGTTCTGATCTTAAAATAAGCACTTAAAGGGTTTCCTTCAACAAGTAAGATCTGTTAACAAAGTTTTACTGCGCTATCAAAGGCTTAGGAGTGTTGGATAAACATTATTAGTGAAAAGCTACGGAGATGTGCACTCTGGCAGTGAAAAGCTGCTCTGAGGAGCCTGTTTGAAGGAGCAGGAGCTGCCCTGGGTACCTACTGGCAGGGTTGTCCTCAGTGCTGACCGTGCCATCCTGTCCATGTTGAGGGCCGGCCGGAACAGGCGGATCTTGCCGTCCACTCCTCGGTAGGCCTTCATCCCCTCGAAGAGCTGCCGAGCCAGGAAGGGGGAGAGAGCAAACACCAGCTCAGACACCTCAGCCCGGGATGATCCGTGCCCATGTGCAGAGAAAAGCCTCACCCTCCTGCTCACTGCACTCAAACATGGAAATGCTAACTAGTGCATTCTGGCAATGCACTCCAGTGAGGGATTCATCTGCAGCACAGGCAGCTCATCTTTGTAACATCAACTTCAGAATCCCTCATCACAACATCTTTTTTTTTTTCATAATTTGGTTGCAGCAATTAAAATTTGTAGCATGTGTTCGGCTTAACAATTCCCTCACATCCTTACTAATACCAAAGTCAAAACAGCAATTCTGCTTACATAAGGGATCTACAGAATTTCATTATATATATGTATGTTAATTATTCTTAGAGCTCTGTCCAAAACACATCTGTTAGGAAGTATAGAATAAAGTAATTGAGAGCATTCTTGTGAAGTTCTTGCTGTAGTTGTAGCAGGAGCTGGCCACTTATTTCCCTCTCATACTGTGGAATGGGATTTAGCCTGCATGAGAGAGATGTAGCCTTACTCTAAAGATAAAATGCATGGAAATATTTTCTTTATATACTTTACAGGGAATTTAAACATAGTTATCCCATCAAACTGCAGGATCCAGACAACTGGTGTTGACAATCAGAAACCCTTATATTCTATCAATGCCCTCTCCTAACCACATCAAAAAACACACCCACCAAATATCCAGTTATTTTCAGTTACAGACTGGTAATTTCTGGTTATACTTATAGACAGAAAACACATGTACTACATGAGCTCACATTAATATATATATGTATACACAAATCTTATTTAGATTAAGTATTAAAGGCTCACTTATGCTTACAGACAACAGCTCAGATTCCTAGAATTTTATCTTCCAAAGCATTTCTTGGTTCATTAAATTTCAGTGTTACGTTCTATGAATTTAACTGCATCACTGCTGTCAGTCTCCTCAGGCTTCTCCTCCTCTGACTGTTCCACAGAAAGTGGCTGGAACTGCATCCTATGTGGTTGGAAGTCTAAATATCTGTATTATCTAAATATCTATATTAGCTGTAATATTATCTAATATTATTTTATTTGGAAAAAATAATCCTGTATTTGTGCCCAAGTAATTTGTTAACAGAGTTTCACTGTTGCCAAATTCTGGATTTTTCTGTTAGAATCAGTGAAATGCAATCTTTGGAAAACTTGTGTGCAGTTCCATGGCAGAGCCAGGTCCTTCCACATGACAAATTTTAATTGGGTTGTAACTGCGTTGCAGAATCCCAGCAATTTTCCTCAGGCTGTGTGCCAATTATGTAGCAGAACCAGAATTAGAACCCAGAACTTTCTGCCTTCAAAATCTTAGTCCTGTGGCAATGCCAACCTTATTAAAAGCTTGGCACAATTTTGAAAAATAAGCTGCTGCTAGGGTAGACACTGTAGCCACAAGAAAAATAAAGTCTTTAATAAGGGACAGCATAGCTGGTCATCTAGCTGATATTTTGATATGATTTTTACTGATAGCACATGGTTGTAATGCTGCTTTCTTATCACAGAACACATTTTTCCCGCCCACCCTTCTCCCAAACACATTCACAGAACTTTTAATGAGAGGGAAAAGGGAGGAATGTCACTACTAAGAGTCGATCAATGGTTTGACAGAAGTAAGAATCACATCATTACTGAAACACAAAGCCTTCTCAAGATGTTAAATTTTTTTCTCCAAAAAGAAGCACTTTTCATCTTCCAGAGCTCAGTAAAGCCTTTCACTCGTTAAAAATGGGAGACAGTGATGTGTTCCAGAAATGTTCAGCTTTAATGAAAGCAACTGCTGTGGTTGCTGGATGGTTGGTTGCTACAGTGGTGTGAGAACAGCATTATCTGTACATCACAGGAGCTGGATCTGGAGTTCAGCAGATCCAGATTAAACACTGCACCATGAAGGGCAAGGAGAAAGGGGAGGGAATGCCAAACTCATCACTTTCATTATACCCACTGTGTATTCATTGAGCCACAGCAATGACACCAGATTCTCCTCTCTCTCTCCTCTTGGCTAGAGGAAACGTGATGCAATAAGGGTAAAAGAATAAAAAAAAATGGGAAAAAAAATAAGAGCATATTCATATTAGCAATGATTTCAGACCAGGCCAGAGGCCAAGCATTAAAGCAATGTGCTACTAAGAGTGAAATACAGATTTGGGACTCCAGCGTGGTTTCTCACTTCCCGGGCAGATCAAGAGCTCAGTCACAGGGGCCTGCTGTAATTTACACAGGAGGCTTGGTGACTAGATGAGGAAAAATTCAGTCAAAATAAAAATGGTGAAGGAAGGAGCTCAGGGACAGCAAGCAGGGGAAGCTTCCCTTGTACCAGTGGTTAAATCAAAAACAAAAACAAAACAAAAAAAAATTAAAAATAAAAAAAGGAAAAATAACTGCCACCTACCCAGAAGTGGGAGAAGTGGGCTCCCATTTCAGGTTCTGTGCCCTGCTGGGGCTCCCACACAGGTGTGAGCACAGCCCAAGCTGCTCTCCAGGCACCGTGGGCAGCAACCAGCTAAGCACAGAAACTTTAACCACGCTGGTTTCTGACTTAACACTCCACTTCCCAAAGTTCCCTGCTGTCTGTTCCCTCTTCAAATCCACCTGTAACACTGAGTGCATCAGCTAGCCCTGAGCTCGAGGGACTGGCTCAGTTCAAACAAGCACCTGCCTCGTCTGTCCTGCGTGTTCAGCCCCCAAATTAAAGCTACTCTGAGAAGCCCATGGTCTGACACACATCAGAGACAGCAACTGGACCAACCCACTGCCAGTGAACAAGAATGGTTTTTAAAATAAATTTATTACCACTCAGGAAAGAGCTCACCTTCCCTAGGCTAGGACTTTAAGTGGGCTGGCATCCCCAGGCCACAGCAGCTTGTGTGTAAATAACCCTGCTGTAAATAATGCAATTACTCTGGAAGAGCACCAGTTAACAGAACAAGATGTAACTCAATACTAATAAACTTAAGGCAGTAATACTCCTTATATTGCAAAACTGTGGCTAATAAAAGAAAATTGTGGTTTCCAAATCAATGTACTACTCACTTCCACAGCATAATGCAGGGCTGAGGAGGCTGGATGTAAGGAGAGGTTCTCCAGAGGCCTAATACAGGGTTTCTCCCAGCCTGAATCCAAGGACCATTCAATTGTCAGCATGTTATCAGTGAACACAGTTCCAAATACCAGCCCAGTGGGGTCTGGTTTCTCCTTGAACGTCGTAGCTGGGGTGATAATCAAGTCGGAAGCCTGAAGGAACACAGAGACAAAAATGAAGTGTATCAAAATAATGAAGTCAGACTGATTTAAAATTATTCTACATCAGTGAACAAGGACAAGCCTTAGTATTTTCTCTGTAGGGATATTTAATGACATGATGATTAACGGCAACTAACCTCTAAGTAGCTGGCAAAATATTCATAAAGTGCACACAAACATATACACAGTGCTGTTACACAAGAAGCAGCATATTTTGAAATTCTGTTTAAGAATTAAGTTAAAGAAGCAGGGCAAGGTACAAACCCAGAAAATCAGCACATGAAATCTCTTGGACACTTAGGTTAACACCCCTGTACAAGTTCCAGAAACACCCAATTGCTGAACCTCAGAACATAAGCTGATCATCAGAAATTGATCACCATCACAACTAAGCAGATGTTACACTGATTTTCCTTTAATACAAAAAACCAATGTGAGAGATCAGAGCCAGACAAGTCACTTATGCCACAATAACTTGCTCCTTCAAACACTTATGATGCTAGGAACATCCCATTAGCAAGGAGGCTAAATGCTTCCCTGCACCAGGGACTGCAGAGACTCTCTTATAAACCATAACAAGCTGCAGGTATGTGCCACAGGGTTTTGTACTGGTTTTGGCTGGGATAGAGTTAATTTTCTCTGTGATCGCTCCTGTGGTGTGAATCATCCCAAAGAACAGCAGGGAAATAAGGAATGCAGACCTCTGGCATGTCACTCCCCTTTTATTCACAGGTAGGGGCTGGACAACCAGAGAGGGCAGAGCCTTGATTCACCCTCTCCTTTCTCTTCCTGTGCTTCCTTCTGAGCATTTAAACTGCTGCTCAGAGGCCAGGGAGAGTTCAAAGAATCATATTCAAAGCTGCATTTTCCTTCCTAACATAACTCAGAAAGCACTGGCCCTTACTGCAGACCCCCAGGTAGCTGCTCAGAGGCCAGGGAGAGTTCAAAGAATCACATTCAAAGCTCCATTTTCCTTCCTAACATAACTCAAAGCACTGGCCCTTACTGCAGGCCCCCAGGTGAAATCCTGCTCCTCTGTGCTGGATGCTAGACTGGAACAGAGGTAGTCCAGAATACTGATCAAGTAATTTGCAAAATTATTATTTGATCTAAAAAGGTGTTTCTGCAAGAGATTTATTTCACTGTCTTGGACATCGCATCCCCTGCATGCATTTTGAAAAAGAGACAATATCAGTCCCAAGCTTTTGAAGAAGAGTACCCCCCATCTCTGTAAATAACCTAATTTTCAAGATGTCTTTAATGAACAAAGACCTGTTGATTAGTTGTTTTGGTTTAGGTTTGGTTGAGGTTTTTTTCTGCTTAATGGTTTAGATGTGAAATTAACTCAGAGCAGGAGTACATGAACAGCTAAAAGCTTGTTTCAACTATCTGCAATTATAAGGCTTGTCTAGATATTAGAGTGCATTAGTCTAGTTGAATTAATACAAAATCTGATGAAACAACAATTACTCTTCTTAACTCTTCCCTTTATTCTTCTGACAGTGCATGCTCCAATGGGAGAAGCACCAGCTAATGATGTCCTGAAACTAATTTTACCTGGCAACCTTTTAGCACCCTTATCAAGCTTTAGGAAAAAAAGGTATCACAGAAGATGTGGATCAGAATAAAAACTACAGAGAAGTGTTTGCAATTACCCAGGGCAGGACTCTGCGTTCAAGAAAACAATTACAGGGGAGCAGGGATGTCAGTGGGGTTTAAGTGAGTGCACAGAACACAGCTGTATCCCTGGGTTTATCTCTTGCTAAAGAACTCCCCCTTCCCGTGCTATCAGCTGCTTTCCCTGGACTCCAGGCTCCTGCCCCTCAGGTCACTTTCATTAGGGTAATTATGGTACAATAAAGTGGCCTGGGGACCATTATTATCATTTGAAGCCTCTTCTCCTAAAACTCCCATCTGTGTGCTGATTTCTGCTTTCATGACTCCCTTTGCAGCCTCCTCAGTGGTGGTAGCACAACTGTTCAAAGGCATCACTTCAAACAGTTTGTTAAGTTTGCTGGGGTTAACAACAGCTTTTATTTAAGGATGGGGAAGGATTTTAACCTGGCTCTTCTCATAAATCCACAGGCAGTGCAGAGGGAGCAGCAAGCTGAACAAGTGAAGAAGCACACCCACTGTGTTTCACTTGGAGCCCCTTGAAGGCAGAAAGCCCAGAGAGGCAGGAAACCCCGACCCTCACCCAGAAAAGCAGCAGCCAATTCCCAGAGCTTCCTGGAACTGCACAACCTGACTATCTGCCCTTCCTCACTCCCTCAGAATTTGGGCAAAGCAGCTTTCCTGCAGACACAGTGCCAACACCTGAGTCAACAGCGTCAGGTACAGCAGCTGACCCATGACAATTCCTTCAACAACAGCAGGAACAGCCTGGCCAAGACCTTGGAGACAGGCTGAACTGCACAGACCAGCAGGGCAGCAATCATTCAACAGGCAAAAAGGCAATTGTTCTCATTGCTAGTCTTTTCCCATTATTATAATCCTGTTAGGCTCTCTGGAGATCAACTTTTTTTGGCCATTACTTCCTTAATATCCTTTCTGAGTACTCTATTCCTTCACCCATTGTCTTTTTCTCCATTTTTTTTTACTAAGCAGTGTAAATAAACAGTGTGCAACAGCACCCAGATCTTTCAGAATGTAAACGCTTTTCACGTCAAGGCAGCATCCAGTGCTGCAATGCATTTGGTTTTCTTTTTCCATGGAGGAGAACACATCAGGAGGAGGTTTTGGAGGGTCATCCTCGGAGTACTCTCTCCCACAGCGTGGTCTGCATGAAGCATTAGCTCAGCCTCTTCTGGGTCCCTGAGAAGCAGGACACTCTACACAACACCTCACCTGGCTCACAAACCCCTTGGGATTCAGGGAAGAAAAGCAAACACTCAGAAGAACCCACAAAAAGGGAGCAGAGCAAGGCCAGCTGACAAATGCCAGGGTCTGATTAATCTGATTAATCAATCAATGCCTATTATGTTAACATCACTCTTTTAAAGATTGTCACAGTGCTATCACCTACGACCTTCACAAACAGCAATTTACTTTCTTCCTTTGCCAACATTCCCAGCATGTTAAGGATGCACTAGAGATTGGCATTACCTCCCATCCAGATCTCCACTGTTTGCACTGCCAACACAAAGGGGAATTTTCAGCTAGGCTTGTGTTTTGTTTGCTTTGTTTATCAAACATGCTCTCAAGCACCTCCTGATGCTGTTGCCCAATAAAACCATTAACCTGGAAGGAAAACTGGTAAATGCTGAACCAAAAGGATAAGGGAGATTAAAAAAAGACCTTGTGGCACATGGTCTAAGAGTGCAGCTATTTGGCACCTGTTTTCTAAAGTAAAATCACACAGTCCCAAGCCTGCAAAACCTCCATGTCACAGCAGAAAGGGATGTAGAAGATGTCCCTCCAACATCCCAGCCCAGGACACTCTGGAAAGGAATAGGAAATATCAAATTGCCCTGCCTGTGGTAGGCAAAAGGGAGTTGTAGGGAAACCAGGCACTTATTGTGGATTTTCAGGGCTCATATGGCAACATTAGACGTACACAGGGCTGCTGGCCCCAAGAGACACCTTCTGAAACCCCCCAGCTGAAAAGTGCCTGCTCATCCCAGTGCAGTTTCTTCCAGGGCAAAGCTTTACCCAGCCCAAGTAAAGAAGACATATTGTGACCTCACAAAACCAAAATTCGTCATTTGACCAACACAGATCATCTCAATTATGAGCTGGGCCAATTAAAGGTGACCTGCTGGTCCATGTCAATTTTAATCAAGGCTGTGACAAGCCATCCTGGTGCCTGGCTGAGCTGGCACTTCAACGCTTGTTCCACCCCACCTTTGCCATGGCTTTACATGGATTTGGAGCTGACACAGCCCCTGGCCAGAGCTGGTGCTCTCCTTGTGGCACTCCCACCTTTCTTACCCCAGGTAGGTGCAGATGGCAAGGGCTTGTCTTATGCTTTCTAGGAAGTTTTGTCAATGCCTTCCCAAACAATCCTTTGGCTGCAGTTACTTGCACTGCACTGAAACTCCAGACCATAAGCTGTGACAGGTCTAACTCATTTGACACAACCAAGCTTTTCTAAGCACTGTGCTAGGCCAGGCATTTCTATCACTTAATTGAGTAAAACCAGACCTGGCAGCCCCAGCTGTAAAATAACTCACAGGTCACCCAAAAACAGCAGCAAGTTTCCGCAGAGATCCCCAAAACATGAACATGTACCCAAGCGAGACTGCCTGCAATCTCCTCTGATGAAAAAGTAACCTCCCTGACCTCCAGTCCAGGTGATTAATTCAAGATCACAAGCAACTGCAATAATTTTTTATCTTATGCTGAATTTGTAAGCATATCCTAGGAAAGATCAGGGCCTTCTCATGCAGAAACAAACACAGAAGCACAGGCAAAATCAAATAACTTGCTTTGCCCTTGCACTTGAGAACAGCAGTGGAACAAATCCTGAGAAGGAGACAGACTACAAAAAGCATAAGGAATTACTGTGATGGGGAAAGGTAACAAAGCATAGCTGAGGAGAGTTGGAGAGAATTAATAAAGTAACATTTATGTAAGCTATCCTATAATCCCTTTACCATCAATACTATTTTAAATTTACAACAGAGCCTGAGGCTTGAGAATGGAAAGTGTGCCAAGATATTATAATAAGATTTGAGGAGGAAAAAAAGCCCTATTTTTACTACTACTACTATTATCATTTTTAAAAAAAATTCCATCTTCTGCAATCCCATGGTAAATATTAAAAAAAATCTTTCAACATAAAGCTTCCTTGAAGCTTCATCTCAGAAGTATGCTAGCACATGTAATAATTGGACTGAGTCCTGGAATCATTGCATCAGGTTGGCTGTACATTGGGTAATAAACCACAGAACAAATGACAAAGCAAAAGAGAGTCAAAGGCTCTGAATCAGCTGTGAGACACTCATGGAAACAGCAGGAAATATGGCTGGAAGGACTGTGTCCAGTCCATC